TATGCAGGGAGTCTGCCCTGTTTCATATTTCTTCCTTGAACCATCATCTGTAAATCACGTTCCTTGTTCTTCTAAGGCTCATCCTGTTGCTTTCGGGGTGACCTTTGTTGCCCAGCCCCTTTAATTCTATTTTAGGTATGCAGGGCAAAAGGAGAGGGAATATGACTGGGATGGGCAATGGAAAGAGATTGTTCCTTGCTTGCTTCCCTGTCAGGCCACAGTGGGTGGGAGTGGAAGAAGCACGTGCCTAGAGAAACACATGCGGCGTGGCTCTGGCAACGGGGTGCAGGAGCGGGGCATGCTACAGGCAGGTTGTAACAGGCACTTTGGAAACTGGTTGTGATTCTGCAAGCTGGTTTGACTGGCCCACACTGAGCTTTCCTCCAGTATCATCTTGACTGTGGGAGAGCTTTCACTCCAGGAGCATCTTTTGTCATTTTTCAACAGTCATTATCACCAGTTTGCTTTTTCCCCTTATTAGGTGGCCTGTCTATCCCATATGGAATTCCATGTCTTTATTGGTTAAGCGGGTTAACTTACTGGGCAGGCTAGGTTTGGCTTTTGCACTGCACACAGTGCTTGTGAAAGAAGCATGTCGAGCCCAGCCGCTGGGATCAAATAGTGATCTTACTTGTATTGAAGTCTTCATATTTCAAAGCGGACCTGGGTTTGTCCCAAGGACTCTGGTATTTCTTTCTCAGCTACTGATTCCTTTTTAAATTTGGACGTTCTGCTTTGGCTTCCAGTACTGGTTTCCTCTTGTGAAAAAACATTGTTGATTTTTCCTACGAGCCACCGTCAGGGGTCTAGCGAGGTGCCTGCCCGAGTGAATCTGGAAAGAGCCTGGGCTCTTACGCTGGGGTGAATCGCACCGTGGGTAGTGTGCGCGCAGAGGTGTCTCTGCCCCCAGCTTTCTTACCCCACCTGGGAGACCTTTTAGGACTAATCAAGCACATTTGAAAAACTCTTTAATGGTCAAGCACCCCAATACTTTGCTTTTAAAATATTGTGTAAGAAAGAAGGGAAAAAAAGGCACCTTGTATGCCAGTCATAGCCTTCCCAGAAAGCCTGGCCACGTTCATATTATTTCAATATGTAGGAATTTCCCAATTCTTTTCTGTCTGAAGCCCCTTCTCTTCCATCAAAGCTTCAGGGAAGCTTCCCCTGCACAGGGGAAACTTTGGAGCAGGTTGCAGGATACTTGCAGGTCGCTCCCTGGGACTCAGCAGCAGGGTCCCTCCCCGAGGCTCTGCAGCACACCTGCGCTGCTCTGCTGCTTTTTAAAAGGCCCACTGGCAGCCAGGTCAGCTGCTTTGGAGGCTGTGGGATGATTCAATCATTACAGCAGGAGGAGGATAATCCATAGGATTTCCTTTTGAAGCAGGAACATGTAAAGCAGGGTGGGGTCCTGGAAAAAAAAGGAACACTCTAAAGGTATGTTGCTTACTAGAGAAGAAAAAACCAAAAATCCTGAACCATGTTTCTCTGCTAGTGTAGTCACTCTCCTGGACGGAGCAGTTAGACCTTTCTGTGAGCTGCAGGAGGCTCTGAGTTGCCATCGCCCCAGCTCTCCAAATGTTGCTATGCAAGGTGTGCTAGGGAGCCACACCAGTGATAATAAAGCTTTCCCTTGGCTCTTGTGAGCCAGTGTGGGTGCTGCCCCTGCCCACGGGTGAGCCTACGCCAGCAGGGATGCCAAGGGCATTCCTCCTCTGGGGGA